CTCTTAATAATTTCTGACGTTCTTTGCCCTAAAACCACGATATGATAACGACGGACGCCGTAGTGAAGAGCTCCGGAAATTTTGAGCACGTGGTGTTTTTAAAGGTGCCCTGATAGAGGCACCTGGCAATGCAGTTTACAAGAACTGATGGTAGCGCCAGAACGCACGGCCTGGCGAGTGGGCGCAGCAAAACCGAGTCTCCCGATGCGTAGCCTAGAAAGTAGACGCGGCAATACTGGACTTGCCAGTGCATATTATTTTCTTTTTTTAGTTGTGAGCAGGGGTGTCACGGCTGTTTAAGTAAGCGCCCATGAAATGTTCTTTGAAAACGCGCCAAAAAGAGCATTGACACATCAGCGTATCAATGTGTTCAGCGAGAGTTTTACTATTTTGGTATCCCTGGCGGTCGGTACCTAGAATGATGACGCGGCCCAAAAGGCTTCGTCGCGCCTTCTGGTCCACTATCGGGTGCATATTGCACAGTAGCAAGGGCATTGGCAGGATTTTGTCCTCGGAGGTACACACACGCGTTGCGTCTGGGGAGGGACATGGGGCTTTGGTAGAGGGGAAGGCCCCTTTTGTAGCACCCCGCCGAGGCCCATGCACACTACAAAGGACTAGAGCATTCGGTCTCCTTCGGAATGCGACGGCGGGGATCGAACCAATGACCTTCGCGTCAGCAACCGAGCAATCACCGCGGCGGACACTGCACGGCTTCTTCACGCATACCGACGAAAGAGTTCACGAAGCGTTCAGCTGAAGCCAACCAGCTCGTATTGGGAGCGGCGAAACGAGTCGAGCCCACCATATCGAATTGACAGTTCGCAAAAGTCTGCGAGTTTGCTTCGTGGCAAAAACGTGTTTCCATTCAACGACTCTCGTTCAGTGAATGTGTTTCGAGCTGTGAGTGCGTCGATATGTACCCATACTATCCAGGCGAGTGGGCGTGACGACCAGAAAGATTTTTTCAAAAGTTACTTGCACGTATAGAGTCATAGTCGCCACGGCCTGCAACTACGACTCTGTAGTTCCTTAGAACGCGAATAAAGTTGGTTGTACGCAAAAAACGACGGCGAGAAGAGTTCACTGCTAAAGAACACTTCCGAAGAGTAGACTGTTGGGGCGAGTTGGTATTCCCTGCTGACGCGCATGTTTCGGGATGAAATCTCGGACCCGGCAGCCGCGTTTTCGATGAAGGCGAAAATGCGTCAGACCAGTTTTTCTCCGATTCCGCTCTTCGTTAAAGTACCCCACGTGGTCCAAAACATTCAGAGCCCTTCCACTGCAGCGTCACTTATGATCATATTGTTACGGGGAAGTATTTATTAAGGGGCATTCAGTCAGGACCAGATCGAGATGACGTTGCACAGAGCGCACAGAATAAATGTCAACAGGGGCAACCCAGACTCGGCGCCAAGCAACAGCTTTGTCGTCCTCGTTCACTCGGCGCCATTTCAACGGCTCTGCGGGAGTGGTATTTGCATACTCATGCCATTATTGACACGTATAGGTGAACGTGTGTTGGCTGGTGCACAAACAAGTAGAGAGGCGTACCGCGACAGCAATACAATTAAGGTAATTCACTGGGCTGACTTGCACCCGAAAACAAGCTAACACGCACCGCTCTGGGAGGGCGAACAATAAAAAGCAAACAGGACAGCGTGCCCGAACGATGGCTACGAAACTACCCACCGGCAGGTGCGATGATCGCATCTATTTGTTGCGTCGCCACACATTTCGGCATCAGGTAGACATGCGGCATTTGTTGCGTCGCTACACATTTGGGTATCAGGTAGGCATGCGGCTACACTCGATCACATGCGAGGCGCGGGAGGCGATAAGGTAGTCCAGTATGCTTCTTTTTTTTTATTAAACGCACGTAAAGTTACAAGTATTAGTTGATATTTTATTATCAATGAAACTGCCCGAACCAATGTAGACAGCACAAACGGACAGCTCATGCGGATTAGTAGTAACGAATAAGGATTGATTGATTGATTTGTGAGGTTTAACGTCCCAAAACCGCTATATGATTATGAGAGACGCCGCCGTAGTGGAGGGCTCCGGAAATTTCGACCACCTGGGGTTGTTTAACGTGCACCCAAATCTGAGCACACGGGCCTACAACATTTCCGCCTCCATCGGAAATGCAGCCGCCACAGCCGGGATTTGATCCCGCGACCTGCGGGTCAGCAGCCGAGTACCTTAGCCACTAGACCACCGAACGAATAAGGAAGCATTCATTGTGTTGATGACAAAACGAGCAGTTTTTGAATAAGTGAAGACGACCGTAAAGATAAGCGTCTGATGCCGCTGCTCTCTTTGTGCACGCAGTTCCCCGAATAATTAAATGTTTGTTGAGCTAGTATTTGGTCGAGGCAGTTGGGACAATATGCATTTGTGCATACGCACTAACTGTTCTTCAAAGTGTCAGTTCACAAAAATACCGCGCATGGGGGGGGATTGAGGGAAGGCATCGGAATGAACATAAGCAATAAAATAATGTTTTTCCTGTCATCTGATAGGTGTGTCTCATGGGAAAAAAAGCATGAAAAGCCCCCTCAATGTTTCTCCTTCCTTTCGTTCAGACTCGTGCAAAATTATTGTAACATCATGAGGAGGATTGAAAAGCAGCATAGTGATATTCGGGTCACCCAGTGTAGGGCTTCGGAAATTCGGACCATTTGGTGTTCTTTAACCTGCACTGACACATCACAAGTACACGGGCATCTGCCATTTCGCTACACCCAAATGCGGCCATGCACCGTGCCTGGGATCAAACACGCGACCTTCGGGTCGGCAGCGGCGCACCTTAACCACTGATCCACCGTGGCGAGCTTAAAAAAAAAAAACAGAACATAAAGCTGCAACAAAAGGCTACGTTTCCTGCTGCACGGAGTCCCATGGTAAAATGTATCTGCCGCTCTCTGGAAAAACCAGTGGTTCCCCTACAGGAACAGAGAGCGAACACAGCAGTACATCCATTGAATGCGGAATGTCTACATCCCCACCACTGCGGTCTGCGTAGAGGACGGTGCAGCACGTGCTGGTAGCAGCAGCAGCCTCATTCTCACTACAAGTGACCATTATAGTAACTTTTCGCGCGAAGAAGCCGAACACAGCATTAGCACATCATGTTGAACCTGTTGAACCCTCACTCACGTGCCTTCTGTGAATGCTCGCTTGCACTGCGTCGTGCTCCCTAAAGGGCTGCAGAAATTTGGTGCCTTCTTCTTTTCCCTCAAAAATTACTACCACCACCAACAGAATAAAAAAATGAAAAAGAACGCTTTTTTTTTTACCACGAACTCTTCACGACAGTTTCGATGTCGTTCGGTAGGCACAACCCAAATGACAGACAGGATGGTCGAAGGCAACAAGCAACTGCGCGCGCTGTTGTGTACTCTTTCGTTTCGCGCCATGTTGAACCTTCAAAACTTGTTTACTTGGCAGCAACGCGTTAGTAAACCCATGCGAAGCACGACCTGTTGCCTTTCGCGCCAATTCCAAGCGCGCTGCACTCATTGTGCCACCGCAGAAGTTCAGAAATTCCTGACTGCTATTGACAACTGCACCAACAATAGAAGCGCTCAGGTGACGAACGACCACAAGAATGATGCCCCAACGTAGCTCACAGCGAAGTAAAAAAAAAAACAGTTCTGCTAACGCTGCGGGAAGTCATTCGCTAATCTTTAGGAGTCACGTGACCTTGCTCATTTGCAGAACGCGTTGCTTGCCGCTCGGTCTTTTTTTTTTTTTTTTCTCCTAAGGTATATGCGCTTTGGCGCGCCTACAGGCTCAATACCTGCTGAAGCTCCTTGCTCCTTTGCACATTTTAGGTGTAGTTTGGCACCACATTGCGCAATATTCAGAAAAAAAAAAAGAACGAAGGCGCATGTGGTTCATTTGGCACGCGTCCAGCAGTTTACCGAGCGAAAATCATTCAGCCGCCACGTGGATATATTATCACTGATTGTGATGTCTTTACTATGGTGAACAAATTGAACGCGATCAGGAAAGATGAAGTTTATCGCTATGACTGGAATTTTGTGCTGGTGCTTCAGTTTCCTAATTTCCACCAAATCGCAGCAGCTATTCAAACCGAAATCCTTCCGGACAAATGGTCTAGACAAATGGTCGCTGTTCAAATTGAAAAGGAATTTTCAAATTTTCAAATGGCCTTATTCCCCCCCCCCCCCCGTGACGCGGTGCCCTTATATTGATGTGTTATTGCAGTAAACTTAAATTGCGGCCATAGCTCATGTCGTCCACTTTTTAGTCCCTCTTTTCTGTTGCTGTACGCATATTAGTAATAAAAAAATGTTGAAATACCAACTCTGCTCACTTGTTATCTTGATTGGAACCTCTTGCCTCATTGGTACTAGTTCGAGTGGCCTCGAATATACGCGCCGAAGTGGTTGACATCATAAACGCTGTTTATATTGACAATAGCACGCATGCGCGTGTGAACAATGACGAGCGTGTTCACGTGTCTGAACACTGGCATTCGCTTGGGCGCGCGTGTACAACCACACGAAACTCGCATAATTAAGACAGATCCGGTCTCCGTGCACCTGCCGGCCCCCGGTATCGAGTGAGCAGAACGTCCTCGTTTCTGGACGGTGACCAGAAACACAATGCTTCTTGGAACACTACATGCGCCACGTGAACACCTCAATGCGCTGGATTACATCTTTCCGATGTACAGTTATGTTTGCTCTAAAGTGCAAGAAAACAGAACCATAATAAAGAACACTTGAGGCTGTCCTGTCCTCTTGCGCCTTAAAACGAATATCAACCAACACCAGCAGGTCAAACAAAACGTTGCCTTAAGCCATAGACTGCCGCCTGGGAGCTGAGCATAGCGTCGATCTTCATATAATCGGCAAGTGCTTATACGAGTCGCCAAAGCTCCGTCGCCGTGAACGCGACAGGTGGTTCCGCGCGCCGGCCAGTAACACGCTTCGTTTGCCCAGATGCAGGCTGAAAGCACGCCTCACCTGGAGTTGCGGATGTGGTGAGCCCCGCGACGCCGATGAGCAACAGGGCAACGGTGAGTGTTATCCGAGACGGTGCGGTGCCCGTAGCCATGACGGCCCTGTAGCACACGGACGGACGTCCACCGGTTTCTGGAGAAGCACGGGGCCGACGAGGCGGCTGCGACGATCAGCACCGTTGCGTCGCTGTAGCCGAGGCTCCTCCGTAAGAATTCGTGACCTGCTCCCCGCGCCGCTGACGCTTCTTTCTTGCGAATTTTTTTTCTTTGCTTGTTTTCTTGTCCCGGAGTGGGACCCTCCTCCACTTTACCGTTGCTTCCTCCAGGAACTGGTCTACCGCTCTCCTTCTACCTCCGCGCGTGGCTCCCGCCGGCTACTCTTCACCGCGAGGGGGCTCTACAGGTGTGTCGCGGAGGTAAACGTCACGACTGACGTCACCGGTGACGTAGTGAGAGGAACTAGCGCACCCTATTTAGTTGAGAGGAGGTTGTTCCCATGGGAGAGTAAGCGTATTTACGACAGGTGGCGAGGGTGGTGATTATATTTGGGGCGGGGGGGGGGGGGGGGGGGGGGTATGCGATGCGACTCGTTTCGGTGCAGCGCGCCGCCTCCCCAGGTTTGGGGCGGAAGAGCAAAAGAGGACGTTTCGGATCTCGCATTGCTGCCTCGCCAGAGCAGCCCCACAGTTTCGAGGGTATCGAGCGCTTTAGTATTTTGAAACGCGGTCGCATTTGAGTTCACATTCGAATGCTTAAAACGCTGAGTTCACCATGTGACTCGGTGGACTTGCTTTAGCAGCAGGTAGCTTTGCGCGAGACATCATGGACGCAACTTCTGAACGCAGCTATAGTTCCACGATGGGGTCTTCGATAATGAACAAGTTGAGGCTAACCGGCTTCAGTGTGATGAGATGGCAACTTGGCAGGAACGCCTCTGTGCGTGAATAAGATGCATGCGATGATTTGCTAACATTAATGTGACATCGCAAAACTCGCGTCCCAGAATGCTTCTGCTCTGGTTCCAGTGACGTCAGTACATGTTTGGGCCGCGCCATTCGCACTGCTTCGCGGGCGCTGCACGCAACTGAGCTGGACGGGACGCGCGAGTCCGGGTTGCCCGGGTTTGTCGTTGCTCTGTGGTTGTTTCTTGAGGGCCGGGAGGAAGCACCCTCGTTCCTGACCCACATCTCGAAGCCCGTATGGAGGACAACAACCTCGACGGTGCGACGGCCGCCGGTTACTTCTCTTGCTTTTTTTTTTCTCGTTTTCTCTCTCGCCCTCGAAACTGTCTTCTTCTCAGTTGGGTCGGGGCTGTTACCTTCAACTTGGCCTTTTCGCCCGACTGTCGCTCGTTTGGGTCGCTCGCTGCGCTGCCCATGACCGGAGCCTGGCGCTTTCTCAACTCGCGATGACCGATGACCTCCTCTGTATTCTTCGAAGATCCTCGGCGGAATGTGTATGCGCTTCAAGTGAAAACGTCGTGAAAGGTGGCGGTCACCGGAGAGTTTTAAAAAAGAGCAATGATTGACGCGTTCTGTGCTATGGACGCAAACAAAAAAAAAAGGGGGGGGGGGGTGGTACGATGCAAAAGGAAATATGAATGTAGCGTGTAGCGTGGTCGTGTTTTTTTTCGTGTTCCAGAGAGGTGATGAAACGGGGTCGTCCAGTTCGGCCGAGTTTCCACTTTTGATGGGAGAAATGTGGGAGATGCGGTTGCTCATTCAAATCACTTACGAGCCGCTTTTCCTCCTTCTTCTTGTTCTTTTGTGAGTCTTTAAAAGAAAGAAATGGCCTATCTGACCACAATGAAACTAGCGAGTGTTTCGGCACTTTGGTCGCGAAAGGGTGGCGGCTTCTTCGTCGCAAGTCTCCAGGTTTATGGCTTCCCTGAGGTTTTCTTAACTTCGCGAGCATTTATGCTCCGAAATGTGACTCGACCTCTTTCATTACAATGCCATTGCCTCGTAGCGTGCTAAATATATTTTACTCTTTATCTTTTTTACTGAAAAGTGCGCTTAAGGAAGCCGCGAGCTCTCGTCACAGATGTTGTCTTGGCAAAAAGAAACAGTGAAAATAAATATTAAGGTTTATTAACCTGCTAAATCGTCGTTTTAATTCCTTATGAGAACATGATACTCCAAATTAGGCAAGTTCAACTACGTTACAATTAACATACCAGCTTTGGAACTATTTATTCCTTATTGGAAATTTATGCCTTATTGCAAATATTCTTGGTTTACATATCTACCAATTTATTTCAATTTTTTCACTTAGAGTAATGTTCAGTCACTTTGAATTTCGCCAAGGTAGAACTTAGTGAAGAAGTCTGCATTTTGTTTGGTTCCTTCGTCGCTTTTTGGTGACATATTATAAGTTCAATTTTTCAAGTTTTCCTTACCCACTTTTTTTCGCATTAACAATTACTTCTAATAACTTTCCATATACTTTTATTGGCGTTACCATCTGTTAGATATCATTATTATTGTATTCACCAAAAACAAAAACGAGCTCTTGAATGTATTCTTTTTTTATTCGGTGTACTATGCACGAAAAAGAGAGAGAGAACAACTTTATTAAAAAAAAATCTCATTCCGATTCCACTAATAAAAGTACAGCAAGTCCAGATCATCAGAAAGGCCTATAGAAGTGTACAATTCTTTAGTAGTGCCTTCATTTTGTATGGGGAGAAGACTGCCACTCATTCGCCCAGGGTCACTGGTCTAAGCTTTGTAGGTATGTGCTTGACGCTCTCACCCATGGCTACACGACCAGCCTGAGCGTCCCGCAGAACGTGATCGTCATGCGGGAAGCCACCGAAAGCCACGCAGGCGAGATGCCCGTTCTTGCCTTGGGTGTAGTGCTGAATATGGGGCGTCATTAAAGAGTTAATTCGAGCACGCCTCACTGGGACTGCCTCGCGTCTCGTCGTGGTGTGAGGTGGATGCTATGTACGAGAAAATTTGCTTTCTGCTCTATGATCGCGGGAAACATTTATCGCCAACGAAGGGAAGATAGATATAGTGCGAGAACAAAACGACGACAAAGAGACAAGAAGGACACGAGTGCTCGTGTCCTTCGTGTCCTTCTTGTCTCTTTGTCGTCGTGCTGTTCTCGCGCTATAACTATCGTCTTGTCATGCCAACTAGCCCAAGCTGCCGCACTTCTAACGAACGGAAGGTTACGGAGCCATAGTAAAAAAACGTAAACAAAAAATACATTACTGTATTTTATACTGCATATAAAGAGGCACATCACTTGCGGCGGATCCAGCCACTCATTTTCAGGGGGCGGGGAGAGTTGATCATTTTAACGAAAAATGGTGAGGGGGGGGAGTGGTCTCGACATTTTCCTTTTCGGTGGTTGTTTTAACAAGAAGCCCATAATAGCATAAGTAATGTTAATTTGTGCTCAAAGTGGTCCCTTTCATTTGTCCTAATTGGTTAAAGCAGGTGGCCACGCCACGGTGGTCTAGTGGCTAAGGTACTCGGCTGCTGACCCGCAGGTCGCGGGATCAAATCCCGGCTGTGGCGGCTGCATTTCCGATGGAGGCGGAAATGTTGTAGGCCCGTGTACTCAGATTTGAGTGCACGTTAAAGAACCCCAGGTGGTCGAAATTTTCGGAGCCCTCCACTACGGCGTCTCTCATAATCAAATAGTGCTTTTGGGACGTTAAACCCCACAAAATCAATCAATGGTTAAAGTAGGTGGACAACAAGAACTGGAGTGATGTGGGTGCAACGTTACTTGTGGGTTGAGGGTGCAGACAGAGACTTTAGAGAGGGCGATGGCCTCGACCCACGCCCTTTGGATCCGCCACAGCACAGCACTCACCCAGAAGATATTCATATTTATTTCACTTAATGCAGCGTCATATCTCGTTTTGCACGCCTGAGAGCGTAGCACGTTTTACATGCACTTCAGTAAAAATAGCGTCTTCATCCTCAGGCAGTGCTTTCGTTGCCCTCCAGCTATTTCGAAGGCTTGCCGATGCAGCCTGTGGCGAATTTCACTCGCACATCGATCTCTGAGCAGACGTAACAATATGTACGCTGTCTTATTCACGAACCCGTGGAGTAGCTCCGTCCCCGTAGATTTCCCTTCATTGTCAAGAAAAGTACATAAATGTTGCAAGGAATGAATACTGCTATTATTATAGAGTAGTGATATCTATAGGGTGTCACGTGCCACAAAAAACCACGATATGCCATTACGATGAACGCTGTAGAGGAAGGCATCGCAAGTTGCAGACTATCTGGTGTTATTTCATGTTCGCGACACGGCACAGTACACGGGCCTACGGGGTTTCGCCTCCATTGACGCGTGACCGCCGCGGTAGCAATCGAACCCGCGACCTTCGGGTTCAGCAGCCGAGCACCATATCAACTGTTCCACCGTGCTACGCGGTAATTGTAGGAATGTTTTTGCGAAGCATGACGTCGGCGTGCGACACTGCAATTTTCACCCGGTTCACTGACCATGGTAAGAAATAACTCACGCTCTCGCCCCAAAAATGCAGCTGTGCAAACAGCCTGTTCAGGTATAGTTCTCCTCCTGACACTCCTTTTTTTTTTCTCCTCCGCTTACCACTCACCGAGTCCCCCTTCCCCTTTTTTGCTGGTCGTATCTTTTTCTCTCTTAAAATCGTTTTACCTTTACATTGCTTCGTGGTCTACCTATAAGCAGTTCTGCGGAATGGGCGTCCATATTCCAATTACATTGAATTTTATTGAAAATTCCATGAATAGGGTTAGCCCTTTCCCACTCAGGGAACGGCCGGGCATGTGAATTCCATTCCTACGATTGCTAAACGTAGGGAAGGCATGTCTTGATAGCTTTATCAAGCTAAGAACGTTTGTAAAAAACATAAAGCTGATTTCATCGGAGGCATAAAAAACAGAAAAATTACGTAACTTGCGTAGTTTTGCAGTTCTTTATGCATCCGGCTACTGTCCTTCGACAGCAGCATGCACGGCATAAGGAACCAAGCTACTGTCTCTCGACCGTGGTAACGTGTTACCACGTCAAGGGACGGTCAAGAGACGGTAGCTTGGTAACGTGATAACGGGTTCAACACTTTACCACGGTCGAGAAACAG